GTGGAGGAACTTGGTGGAACAGCGCGGAGAATCGAGTCGCTCTCGACCTGCGTCAGTTCCAAGTCCTCGGAATGAGTCACAGGTTCCCGGACCTAGCTCTTCCAAATCTAATCCACGATCACAACCACGTTCGCGCGATGAAGTTGTTTTACCTCCACCCTCAAAATGGACCACGACTAGGGAACAAACCCCTATTATCTCATCTGGTAGCAGCGACGCCGAGGCTGAGAAATCCCCTCAACCTGCAGAAGGATCTCCAGAACCTCGCTCAGGCGCTCCCAATGATGATGGTTTAGCGCAACCTCCAGATGAAGAATCTGAAGAGGATGACGACGACGAATCTGATGATGATGATGACTCAGAAGAATCTGACGATGATGAGGACGAGGAGGACAATCAGTCAGATGAAGTCGTTAATGCGCTTCGTGGCTCAACTCGGGTTGAGATGGCAGATCTACGCCGGGAAGGGGGAGCATCCCTCATTCAAAAACTGATCGCAAAGGCGATTCCACCAATTGAGGGGGAGAAAGTTCCGCCACGTAATGTGCGCGAATGGACTTTCCGTGACATCGCCAGTCTACCTACGACTGAGCGAAAGGAGTGGATCACCGCATGCAATGAAGAACTAGAGGCTCTTCGTGCACGCGATGTGTATGACCTGGTCGACCGACCGAAAGGTCGTAAGGTCGTGAAAAATCGCTGGGTCTTCGACGTCAAAACTGATGGTCGAAAGAAAGCTAGACTTGTTGCGAAGGGCTTTTCCCAAGTTGAAGGCGAAGACTTCGACAAGATCTTCTCCCCAGTTGTGCGTTTTGAGACAGTTCGTCTCATTATTGCCCTAGCCGCGCTCGAGGACTGGCATATCTCCGGTCTCGATGTGCGAAGTGCCTACCTCTATGGCAAACTGGATGAAGAGATCTATATGGAACAGCCGGAGGGCTTCCGCAAACCTGGCACCGAGCACAAAGTCTTTAGACTTAAGCGTGCTCTCTATGGATTGAAACAGGCAGGATTAGCTTGGTGGCGAACACTGTCTGAATCCATGCAGCTGATGGGTTTCAAACGACTTAGCAATGATGCAGGTCTGTACATCTACAAGCGCCAATCTGATGGGCAGCTAGTAGTTGTCATCGTCTATGTAGACGACGCTCTCTTTTGTGGGAAAGACAAGAAGCTTGTAGCTCAGCTT